TAGGCAGTGTGGCAAATCCTTTACCCAGGACTCGTATCTGAAAACACACCAGAGAATCCATACCGGGGAGAGACCTTACAGATGCAGAGATTGTGGAAAGTCATTTCATCAGTTGTCAGCACTTAAACGCCATCAGAAAATGCATACTGGAGAGAAACCTTACAAATGCAGGGAATGTGGCAAATCTTTTACCCAGGACTCACATCTTAGAACTCATCAGAGAGTTCATACTGGAGAGAGACCTTACAGATGTAGTGAATGTGACAGATGTTTTACTGAGTGCTCAACTCTTAGACAACATCAGAAAATTCATACCGGAGAGAAACCGTACAAATGTATGGAATGTGACAAGTCCTTTTCCCGTAACTCACATCTTAGAATACATCAGAAAATTCATACTTGCTAGGGACCTTAAATTTCAAGGAATGTGACATGTCCTTTATCCCTATTTTGAATCTTAGAAGACATCAGAAAATTCAAATTGAAGAAAAAAAAATACCATTGCAAATAATGTGACATAGCTTTATCTGGAATTTTCTGCTTAGAAATCACAATAATAGAAACAAAGATACAAAACTTGTGAATGTCTTTAATGAAGGTCTAAATCTTAAAAATATTGCACAGGGTTTATAGGAAAATAGAATTATATGGGAAGTTTTTCTGTTTTTGTTTCTTTCATTTTGTTTTGTTTTTTGTATTGTTGCACTGTATGTATTTCTGTGTAACATGTATGCCAGGTGCCTGAAGAAGCCAAAAAAGATCATCAAATGCCCTAAAGCTGGGTTAACAGAAAATTGTGACCTGCTATATATGTTTTGAATTGAACCCCAGTTTTCTGGAAAGTAGCCAGTGCTCCTAATCACTAAGCCATATCTCCAAACCCTTGGAAAAGCTGTAATAAAAACAATTATTGTGTTCAACATCTAAAAATTCATAATAATGGTTGATGTGGTGGGCAAACCTTTTATCCTGGCACTAAGGAGGCAAAGGCAAGAAGATCTCTGTGTCAGAAGCCATCCTGGTCTATACACTGATTTCCTGGACAGCTGGGACTACATAAACACTGTCTAAACAACAAAAAATCATAATGAAGACAAAATGTAGTAACATTAAAAAATATGACAAAGCCAGAGGGTTTTGCTATACATTGCACAATTCATAGGTCTGAGAAATCATTTGAAGGTATACCATATATAATCCCCCATGTGTGAAATTCCATCCTTGGAATGCATTCAATTTGATAAACATTTTCCCCAGTGTTGAAATTGCCCACATAATAGTAAATTCACCATAAAAGAAAATTCTCTCCTAAAGTCTCATTTTTTCTTGACCTTCAAATGTTTCCTTCAAGAGTCCAGACTTACCTTTGTGGGTATTTTCTAGAGGAGACTGCTTGAACAAGGGTTTAAGCCAATAGAAAGTTGTTTTTATTAGTCACCCCTGACTACACTGGGTGTTCAAGATCCCAGTGTAGCACCTAACCTTTCTCAGGGTGACCTCTTAAGCACAAAAACTGTGTTCTGGGTTAACCTACTTCACTTAACAAGAACAGTTAGACAGATGCAGAACTTAGAAGCTAAAAGGCAAGGTTTGTACATTTTGAGACTTTCCCAGAATTATATGAACTTTGATGGATCAGTCCTTTGTTGTAGTATGTGGCAGGTGGTGGTGTCTGCAAGCTGAGTTTTACAGCCTGAATGGCACGTCCATCATGGAATCATTTGTGGTAAGGTCTGGGGACCTACCAAAGTTGGGGCCCTGTTACACTTACTAATAGCAAGAGAGTGAAAAACTATAAAGAGATAGGCAGTGGATGTGTTAATATGTGCATGTTTATACACAGCTTACAGAACCCCAAAAGGCTAAGATTGTGGTGGTGCATGTCTTTAATCCCAGGACTCTGGAACTAAAAGACTGAACTCTGAGAAACCCTGTCTCAAAAAACAAAACAACAAAGAAACCCCCAAGGACATAAAGAAATTCACTTTGAAGTACTAAAGAAAAATGTGGAAGTATCCGCTCTACTCTAAAAAAAAAAAAAGTATATATATATATCTCCCTAATAGCTACTGGACTCTCCTGGAATGAAAGTAAATGCTTTATAGACAAAAAAAAAAAAAAAAACTGCTAGAACCAACTTATTCATCATCCTCTTCCTCATCCTCTTCATCCTGCTCCTCATCTTCCTTTCCTTGCTCTTTTCCGCCTTGACCACACCCCTTTTCGCTGCATCGGGTCGTCCTTTACCTCTGTAAGCAACAATATCCTTCCCGTGCTTCTTCAGCTTGCAGCCTTCTTTCCGTAGGGCTGCTTGTCATCTGCGGCAGTGCTGGTCCGCATCTCCCCCAGTCTCTTTGCAACATCGCAACATCACCAACGTGCAAGCCAGGGTGTTCTCCTTTGATTTTTGGGCGATACTCAGAACAGAACGAGAAGGCGTCCAAAGGAGCCCTTTTGGGTGCACTTGGGTCCTTGAACTTCTTTTCGGTCTTCCCTTTGGGGAGACGTAGGTTTTCATCTCTGTTTCATAAGGAGCCTTGTCAGCCTTTGCCATGTCTTCAAATTCCCCTTTAGCAGACATGGTCTTCCACCTTTCTGAGCACCTCTTGGAGAACTCCGATAAGTTGATAGAAGCATCCAGGTGCTTCTTGTGTTCCCCCCAGCAAGTTTGCACAAGGAATGCCTGTGCTTCTTAGGATCTCCTTCGCCCATGTTTAATTGATTTTCGTCCTCGAGGCACAGAGTCGCCCAGTGCCTGTCTGGCTCACGCTTGCCCTGGTGCTGTCGCTATGGAGCTCAATGTACTGCAATGGTTGTGTCAGTTGTCAGGTTTTTTTTTTTTAATAGTAGTCTCTGTTTCAAAGAAAAGCTTCCTTAATGAGAAGTTATGAGTACACTTAATCTGTGGGTACAAAGAAAAATGTTTAGATTTCTATGAGGGAGTGTGCAGGTTTATTAAGTGGTGATTAAAGATTCTCCAAGACTCATGGCCTCACCAGCACCGAGTAGGTAATGAAGTTAACGAAGTTTCCAGTACCAGCCATGTTTCCCTTCTTTAAAGAGGGTCTTAAGTCCAATTAGAGAACTGTTGGTTACCACCAAGGTGTGTTTACCACTACTGCACCCGTAAGGCTATCATGCCATGCTGATCTTTGATGTGGATCATAAGCATCATAGTTGGACTGTTGCTTGCCTCCCTCCTCTAGAAGCCTGCGTTGTGCTTCTGGTAGCATAAATGTTATTCATCAGGGATGAGTTTGCTTTATTTTGAGACAGAGTCTCTCTGTGTATTGCCAGCTCTCCTAGACTTACTGTGTAGACCAGGCTGGCACAGAGCCCAGACTTAACTTTGATCCCACCTCCTGAGTGCTGGGTTTAAGGCTTGCATGACCTTGCCCAACTCTACACAACTCTTTGTTTTCACATCTTGAAAATTACCCAAGGTAACTGCATAACGTACATAATAGACAGGAGTAACCAAGTGGACCGTATTTCTTCTGACATTAAAGACTTCTTTCCACTTAAATGGAAACTCTCACTGAGATTTATCTGCCTCCAGGTACATACAACATATCAAGTTAAGACAGCATAAAGTAAATAATGTAAATAAGATTACAAGTAGAAATAAGATTGAAGCAGTTATAAAATGCCGCTTAAGACAACTCCAGAACCAGATGGACAGGGTTCGATCAGAACTTCAAAGAAACACTAATAGGAAAGTGGCTTAAAAATCCTTGTTAGCACAAAAAAATGAAGACTTCCCGACTTAGTATTACCTTATACTAAACAAAACATTGATACAACATATATGAACCTCCTACCCCTCTACCATCCTGGACCACAACTGCAAAAAAAAAAATCTATTGTGTTCATTTCCATTCATTTAGCTTTGAGACCCACTGAGACTGACAAGGGCCATCTATGAGAATACGGGTTTGGAGGTGTGTGTTGGGTCCTGCTGGGCTCAGCAGAGGACTGCAGCTAAAGACAGTGATTCTCCTCCTACAATCTATCCATAGACAGCATTTGAGAGTTAAGGGTGGGGCCCTGTGAGCCTTTCCCTTTCCTAGACTGACTGTGTCTAGTGTGAGGTCAGTGCAGGTCAGTACCGTTGCTGTTGGTTACTGATCACAGCAGCTGTGTGGAGTCCAAAGAATGACATGTCTGAGCCCGTCCTGCTCTTTCCCTTCTTACTCCCTTTCCTCCTCTTCCTCAGTGTTCCCAGAGCCAAAGATAGATGGTGTAAATGACTTTTTTAGACCTAGGACCACATACTTTACTTATTTTCTGCATCTGGGACAGCCATGATTTTCTGCACTCGCCACTGCATTAAAAAATTATTTCCTATAGTTTATCTGAAAGAACCTTTAGCAGGAATCACCGAAGACAAACCATTTCTGAGTTACTAAAATGAGACGACCCCCATCTAGTGGTGAGAACCGTACAGCGCGGGATGAACTCAGCCCTGGGCTCTTAGCAAAGGGCTGATCACGGACTTCTGGAGACACTGTTTTCTTTTCAAAATGCATGTTCCTTAAATTCCCCCCCCCGGGAAAGTTGCAGTATTTGGTTTGTGCGTGCCATGTTTGTGTTGGTGATGGGACGCTGGCATCTGAATTTAGCCTGTTATCATTTGGTGTAAGAAGTAGCCCTGGAGTCTGGTAGTCAAGTCAGGGTTAGGCTGCCTGTCTTTTCTCTGAAGGTTTCAGAACTCACTGTGGGGTCAGACCCCGAGGTGCAGCGTCCTCCCGAATGCAGCTCTGGTCTAGGCTGCAGCAAGCGTGTGTGGAGTCTGTGCAGAGCGGGTCCAGGGCAGCCTGACAGCTGCAGCTGTGGGGAAGGCGACGGAGACCGAGTGGGAGGGGCGGGGCCGTGGGGCGGGGGCGGGGGAAGCACGCACACTCGCCCGGAAACGGGTTGGTGGAGTTTGTTGGCTATTGGTCAGGTATAGGGGACGTGCGTAAGTGGGAGGGATAAGAGGAGTGACGTTTCGGAAGCTGGGAAGTCGCGTTAATGAGGCCCGGCAAGTTGGACTGCGGAGCCGCAGCCAACAGTGACTAGTGTCCGTTCCCTGTCGTTGACCCGGGTCCCTCACTGTGGGAGCCGCGCGCTGCAGACCCGGGTGCGGGGGACTCGGCGGGCGCCGCGGGGACCTGGAGACTCCGGAGCCGCAGTGTCCGCGCGGGGCGGGCGGCCTGGGAAAGTCAGCGTCAGCAGCAGCGCAGTGGCGGGAACCGCAGCCCGGCGGCCCTGGAACCTCCCAGGTCAGAGGAGCCGCGGGGCTGGGACCCGGGAGGGAGGGGACCGGGGTGCGAGCGGTTTCTCTGAGGCTCATCGGGAAGCCTGCTCCCAAATTCTGATGTGGGTGTCTTCCCTTGTCGGAAATTTTAGATCGTATGAACTGGACCATTCCTGATATTTTGTTTTGTTTTTTATTCCTCTTCTGATTGCCAAACATTCTCATAAAAACAACCTACTAGAATGTTTGAATTTATGTGTTGATGCTTGCAAACACGGTTCTCTTTGCTGTGATGATACTAACAAAGCTCTTGAAATTGACATCGTCCCTGCTAACTTCTGTATTATACCTAGGACTTAGCATCCCGGGAGAGCTTTTAGATATTAGTCGTGAGAGGGAGTGTAAGGGTTTTGTTTGTTTTTTGAGAGCAAGAGCATCTTTGCAGTCAGGTGTGACGGGATACAAGAAAGACACACCATTCAGCAAACCTCATGCAAGATCGCAGTAAGTTGGAGGCCAGCCTGGTCTCCAGAGTGAGTTCCAGTATATCCAGAGCTACAGAGCTACATGGTGAGACTCTGTCTCGGAAAAAAAAAAAAGAAAGAAAGAAATGTGGTTTCTTGTGCTGAGTTCTTAATGTTGCAGTTTAGAAGCTGGAAAAACACAGTAAGCTGTTTGAAGGTATTAGCTTATAGTGTGTTCATAGTTAGCAAGGGCATTCATTATGAACCTGGTGGTGGTGGCGGCACATGTCCTTAATCCAGAGGCAGAGAGACAGGTGGATCTTGGAGTTCCTTGCCATCCTGGTCTACAAAGTTAGTTTAAGAACAGTCTGGGCTGCACAGAGGAACCCTATCTCGGGGGAAAAAGAAAGAGAGGAAGGAGAAGGAGAGAGGAGAGGGAAGGACAAAATGAAATGGTGTTTTAATATAGGATAATAAAGAAAGCATCTTTTGAATAAATATGATCATTCATCTATATCAGAAAAATGCTTGCAATAGTCTTTTGTCTCCTTGCTTGCAGAAAACCAGAGTGGACACATGACCAAACTGTTAATTTTGCATTCTTACGTTTGCTTTGTTTGACGTGTGAACTCACTGTGTTGCTCTGACTGGCCATGTAGACCAAGCTGGACTGGAACTAACAGAATCCCACCCACATCTGTCTCCCTGATGCTAGGATTAAAGGTGTGCACCGACAAAACTCTTCAAACTAGTGTTTTCATTTGTGGTCTGTTGACAGACAGTGGTGTGACTGTGGACTCCTCCCAGGAGGAGGGGCAGTGGATGGACCCTGCTCAGAGGCTGGATGTTGCAGAATTACAGCAGTCTGGTTTCTGGGTGAGAATACTTGCTTGTCGTCTCCCTTGCTCCTCCTCAGGGTTTCTTGGCTAATTACTCTGCAGGTGTGTGTTCCTCGAGGGGCCCATCATGTGTGGTCTGTGATAAATTCACTAAGTCATTTGTGTATGATATTGTCGATTGTCATTGCAATCATTCAGTTCCATTTCTGCTCCTGAGTTTTAACCGAGCTGTGACTGAGATTGGGATTCAAATCATGATTGCTGAAAATGCTTTGTAAAAGTTTTCAGTATTCTGCCAGAGTCCAACTGCCTTCTGAAACCAAGTGTGGTTCATTCCACCAATACACTTATCACATTTATAGGAGTCATGCTTCTGAGCTCCATTTATTTATAAGGACAAGCGCTTCTGATCTTCATGAAGTGTCTGTACACGCTGTATTTGGTCTTTTCTTGATCTCAATAGTATGGCCCCTAAATTTTTATGGGGTCAATCTAATTATTGACTTGTAGTCCTACTATTTATAAATGTCAAAGTAAAGGTCAAAATTTCAATTTTCTGGACTAGAGAGAAAAACTCACAGATGTAATTAGAAGGAAAAAAATCAATCCATGATATTGCTGTCTAGTTTGTAAAATTCTACAGCCAATTTCTTTACTAAAGTCAATAAATTTTCTAGTCCAATCATACAGACTGAGAACTGGATACACATACATGATTTTCTTTTAATCATTGTGATATTCCAGCTTAAACACGTTAAATTAAAATATTTTTGACATTTAAAAAAAGTTTTCAGTATTCTGACCCTGCATGACAATTAGGGAATCGTTTGTAGATTCCTGTCTTCACCTACTGAGCACAGTACTGTGTGAGAAATCCAGGGGCTTCCTGAACAATCTCTTTCTCATGTGCAGGGCTCACTGATCACCTAGACCTGCTCACCTGTGCAGCAGAACAAAGGGACCTGGAAGGAGAGAGGAGACAGATGCTAAGAATCCAGGTGTGGGGGAGGGATTGGTGAAGGGATGGCAAGGGCTTCAAGTCAGTGTGTAAGTGGGACAGGAACTCAGTTTGCCACATTCTGTTTCACTCGAAGTAATTCTGGACACTTCCACTGAGAAAGGTGTCTCACGATTATCCTACTGTAGGTAAGAGAACAGTTTTTACCATTTTATATGACTAAGCATTCGAGTGCTGCTGTCCTTATCCATTCCTACCACTGGTCATGCCTTCATACCATTATTAAATGAGTTTTATTCCTATGATTTTAATGTGTTATGAAAATTAATACAGAGCCCTTATGGGATTAACGAGAAACCCGGCACTAGAGAAATTCCCACGAATACGCAGGGATGACCCCAGATAATACCCTAAGCAGTAGTGGAAAGGGCACCTGAACCGGCCTCCCCTGTGATCAGATTGAGGACTACTGTAATTATCATAGAACTACATCCAGTAACTGAAGGAAGCAGATGCAGAGATCATAACTAACCTCTAGGCCAACCTCCCAGACTCCATTTGAAGAGAGGGAGGAGCGATAACATGAGCAAAAGATCAAGACCGTGATGAGGAAACCCACAGAAACAGCTGACCGGAGCTAGTAAGAGCTCACTGACTTCAGACTGACAGCTAGGGAAACTGCATAGGACTGAACTAGACCCCTGCAAGCCAGTCATGGTGGATGGCTTGGGTAGTGTGGGGCCACAGGGACCAGGATCTATCACTAGTTCATAAACTGGCTTTTGGAGCCCATTTGAGTGGTGGGAAGGTGGGGGAGCAGGAGGAGGGGAAGGAGGGGAAACTGGAATTGGTATATAAAATAAAATATTAATAATAATAATAATAATAAAGAACCCTTATATACCTTACCCCTGGAACAATAAAATGAGCTGTCTCTGAAAAATAAAAAGAAAGGACATTAATACCTCTAGATTTATTTATTGTTTTCAGAATTTTGGAGCTTTGATGTTCTAGCACATTCTTACCTTTTAGTGTTTATTTCTCCATTCCTGAAAATAATGCCAACAGAGTTTTGATAAGTATGTTTACAGACTGTTAAATCCATCTGTACTGTCTGCCTATTGATACCTCCGATTGTCTGTGGTCAGGACAATCCCAAGTGGTTTCCATTGCTGTAATTGTAATATACTGTGAGATCACCTCCAGGTTTGATCCTCTTAGTGTTTTCTGTTTTCTGCTGTTCCCTGGTACTTTCAGGATTGCTTTCTGTAAAATGCACAAATAGCATTGTAATGGGAATCGCTTGGTGTCTTAGAGAAGACAAACCTCCTTGTAGGTTGTCTTCTCGTGTTTGATAAGAGCAGTGCCAGTTTTCACGTTTTATGTATTCTTCTGTTTTCTGTATGCTGTGGATGTCTGCATTTCAGGTTTTGTGACATGCACCCGTGTTGATCCGTTTTTTAATCATTTGCTAATACTGTTTATTTTGTATTTGGATACTGTCATCTTGATTTTTCTGTCACTAATGACGACCATCTGTTGTTTTTAACAGCTATACATAGTCACGGCATTTTTAAAAAAACTTTCCTTTCTCAGTATTTTGTATATTTAGATATGAAATGAGTTTTTTGGTAGAAAAAAATGTTTTTTTCTCGGATGTCTTTTTTTGAATGTTGTAGTCTGTTTATATCATTTGTTTAGAGAATATTATCCATTTACATTTCAAGAAATTACTGAAAGAAATGTACTGTTATTGTTTAGAAACTTGAGTGTGGACACTGACTAGAGAGAATTGGAATCTCTGTGTATTAAATTTACATTATCTTATGGGCTACACTGTAGAGCTTTTTAATATGTATATATTGGCTATTTCAACTGCTATTACCATGGTTTGCATATTTATTGATTATGCTGTCATTTGTTTCCTTTGTAAATTTTGGTAGGTTGTGGGTTTTTATCAATTGTGGTATAGATAGATAGCTAATAAATATATATTACCATTTCCCTGAATGTTTTTAATTTTGCACAGAACTATTTGTTGACTCTTGTGTCAAGTATTGCCTCTTTGTGTTGTTCTGCAGGATACACGGTTTCAGATCATACATGAAGGTCTGTGATTCATTGTATGGCAGGGGAGAATTGAACCCAGGTCCATGCTTTTATATGTGGTCTACATACTTTTCCCAGTGCCTCTGTTGAAGAGGCTGTCTAGTCTGTAAACACAAAATCATGGTATTTTGGTGTCATCCCATGGTCATTGCTGGATCTGCTACTCTATTGCATTGGGCTGTTTTTCTGTTTTCCCCCACTCCCATGATGCTGTTGGTTGTATGGATCTGCAGTATTTGGAATCGCATTAGGATAGCTTGAGCTTTGTAACATTTTACATTTCGATATTTATGTTTTATGTATATGAGTGCTTTTGCTTGCAGGTATGACTATACATCGTGGGAATACTAGAATTGTGATTTTGGACAGTTGGGAGCCACAGTGTGGGTTCTAGAAATAGAAGGTGGATCTATGCAAGAATAATTGGTGCTCATAGCTCTAGCACCCTATTAAGTATAATAGAAAATGGTATAGAACCATCCTAGTCATTTTTAATGTAGATGATCTAAAATCTTTCTCTTACATAGGCATTTATTATTTCTTAAAAACTTCTTAAATTATTATTGTATGTTTCTGTGTATTTCTAAACATAAAAATACAACCTACTCAGTCTATGTTTTCAGGGATGAACATTTAGCATTGGATAGCCATAAAGTGGACTCTTCTCTGGGGAAGACCATTTCTCCAGCTCTCAGAACTCCTTAGTGTTTGACCAGGATTGAGGCCTAGTGAGCTCTTTTCCTTCCATGCTAGCGTGTCTCTTGGTGTTGTCCTTGTTGAGCTCATGTTTATGCAGCTGTGTTTGTAAGATTTCATGCATGTAGCTTCTCTGACATTTCTAGGAGACACATTTTCAGCAAACAACCTGTTCCTCTGGCTCCTACAATGTTCCCTCCCCTCTTTCTCAGTGATCCCTGAGCCTGAGGTGAAGGAGTTGTGGTGTTTGTGTGTCAGTGGCGACTGAGCATCACAAGTCTGCATTTTGACTGATTGCGCTTCTCTGTAATAATCTCCATGTGTTGCAGAAACAACTTTCCAGGATGAGGGATGAGGACGACATTTATCTAGGGTAAATATTTAGAATGCTGTTAGGGATTATACTGATTTAGTAAAGTAATGGTTGTAGGTCTCTCACAAGATGTTTGACTTCACTAGCACTGGGGAAACGGGCTTGGTTTCCAGTACCAGGCATGATTTCCCTCTTGTTGAGAGGGTCTTAAGTCCATTTGGAAACTGTTAGTCACCACCACGGTATGTGTGCTTCTCTTTCACCCTTAGGGGTACCGTGCAGTGCGGATAATTGTTGTCGTTCATAGGTGTCATAGCTGGAGAGAACTGTTGGTTGGCTACCTCCTTTGGAAGCTTATACATTGCCTTCTCGTCACCAAGGAGGAGGTTTTAGGTCATATCCGTCTGGAATCCTCTGGAATTTTTGTCCACAGTGTTTGGCTTCTTCAACAATAGGGACTCACTCACCTTCTACCTCTGGGAAGGAAAGATGAGCAACAGCAATAGCCTGTAGTGTTTTGGGAATGTGTTCGACAGCTGTTTCCAACAACTTCAAAGCAGGTTTCTTACACCTGGTGTTGGTAGTTTTATTAGAATATGTATGACTCTTGTGGGGAGAATTATCAGTCCAGATGAGAACTTGTCATTTACACATTAAATGTATAGGCTTATATAGACTTATATATCATAGGCATTTTTAGGAGTGTGATAATACTCTGTTTCCTCATGACTGTTTAAGACATCCTTACTTTTATTTTACCCTCCTGTGTTTATCTCTCCCTTCTCCATAATTAAGTTCTTCCCTGATTTCCTTTTTTCCCTTCATATCATTTGTTCCCTGTTTATTCCCCTGGCCATTTATCCTTCTCATCCCACAGTGGTCTCTTTTTACTTTTCTGGTGACTGCAGTCACTCCAGGTTGTGTACTCACATCTGAAGATTTGGAGCTAGGAACTTCCTATGAGAGAGATCATGCCTTGTCTCTTTCTGGATCAGGGCTATTTCACTCAATGTGATCCATCCATTTAACTTCAAAGCTCAATATTTCAGTTTCTTTACAGGTGAATAGTACTCCATATTGTTTATGTACCACATTCTTACTATTCATTTTTCCACTGAAGGACATTTAGGTCGTTTCCCTTTTGTAGCTATTGTGAACAGAGCAGCAAAGAACATGGCTGAGCAAGTATCTGTGGAGTAGGATGTCGCGTCATGTGAGCTTATGCTAAGGAACAGAACAGCTGGGTCATGTGCTTGACTTGTTTAAGATGAGGATTTGTTTGTTTAATTGAGGATTCTTCAAATGATTTCCAGAGTAGCTAGCTATTTTATTCATATTGTGTTTATTCTCTATGCTTTTGTTTTTTTATGTTGCTGCTGGCTGCATTATTGGTAGTATTTTTCCTTCTCTGTGAGAGATGACAGTTTGCCTTTTTTTTCCCCCATGGATGATTACCTGCCAGTTCCCCTAGATTTATCTGTTCATATGAAATTTATTATTTCCTGTGTGCTCATGGAAGATCCCTCTGACTCTCCTGTGCTGCTTTAGTGAAATCAACTGAGTTAATTCTGTAATATCTTGAAATGCACTTGTGTCTCCATTATTTTTAAAAAAGTTTTGTTCTAGTTACAACAATATAGATGACAGTGATTTTCTTTAAGCTTTAAATCCATGATCTACTGGATTTGAGATCATTGTCTGGATACCTGGTTGTATTCTGTTGCTTGGGTTCTTTTTATGTGGTTTGACATTTTTTCCTAACAGTTTTCAGTATTAATTTTTGTTCTTTCTTTTTGACCCCTTAATATGAAAGGCCAGCAAGCCATCTATCAATTCCCTTGTTCCTGAAAGACAAGCTCAAAGAAGAGAAACAGAAAGAAATGGCTGCATCTCCAGGAAATCTGTCTCAGGTCAGTGGTCATGACCACTATTTTATTGAAATGTTACAGTCTGAGATATTGCCAGCCCCAACTTTCTGCTTCTGATAATTTTCTTAAGCTCTGTTATAAGAACTGTTACAAACCAACAAGCAACAAAAATAACATTAAAATTAACCAGACCCAAAGATTACACACTCAATATACTTTTAGAGTAGTCATTGAGGACAGAAGCTCTGCAGCCTCAGGGGATTTTATGTTTTCACAATCAAATATATTTTTATGAACTTAGCCACTACAAAAAAGATAAAAACCGCTGACAGAATTAGAACTGGAAAAGCAACTACCTTTATGTCCTTTTTCATAACCGGTGTTCATTACCTGCATTCAATCGTGCCTCAAACCCTGATATGTAACCTTTCTTATTCTCTGTTCTCCATGTTCTGCTGTTGTTTCCATAAATACCTATTATTGGCTAGATTCTGTGTGTGAGGGAAAATGTGATTTCTTCCTTTCTGACACTGTATGGCCTCACTATTACACAAACTAAGTCCAACCATTCTTCTGCAAATTTTCATTACATTTTTCTCTTCAGCTGAAGAGTCTTCCATTTGATGTATGTACCATTTTCATTATTCATTCATTGGTTGATAGACAATTGGAACAATTCCAGTACTTTCCTGAGGTAAATAAAGCAGCAGCAAATACAGGTTGTAAATAGATTTATAATGGAGGGTGGGGTTCTGCGTACATGCCCAGGACTGAAATAGCTGAGTTAGACATTAATAACATCTTTAGTTTTTCAAATGATCTCCAAACTGATTTCCACAATGGCTGTATCAATTTGCATCACAACCCTCACACACACCAACAGTTAACGAGGGATCCTTTGTCTCGATATCCTCTCTAACATTTCTTGTTAAGTTGGTTGATGACTGCTGTCTTGCCTCACTAATGGTAGTATTTCAAAGTAGTTTTAGTTGACATTTCCATGGTTGTATTTCAGTAATTTTGTACATTTTTTTGCAACATTTATCGGTTATTTCTGTTTCTGTCTTTGAAAAGGTTCAGTTCCATTCATTTTCCCTTTTGCTGGTTGGTTTTTCTATTTCCTTGGTATATAAATTCTGTAGTTCTTGGTGAATACTAGCTGCGAGCCCCTACCCAAAGTACCACTGACACAGGTTCTGTGTGCTCTGCTGTTTCCTTTGATAAGCAGAAAGTCTTTATTTTCATGTAGTCCTGTCTGTCGATACTTGGGTTAGTTTCTGTGCTTTTGGTGGGCTTGCTAATCAGTAAGTCATAGCCCATCCCAGTGTCCTCATGGATATTCCCTGTGTTTTCTAGGTTTCTGTGTTTCTGGTTTAATTAAGTTTTTGATCCATTTTGAGTGGATTTTTATACAAGATGAAAGGTAAAAATTAATTTAATTCTCCTACTGGACCAGTTTTGCCAGCACCGTTTGTTGCAAAGGCCATATTTTTATAGTCTCTTTTTGCCTCCTTTGCTAACTATTGAGCATAGCTTTCTGTTTTTCTTTCTGGGACCTCTGTCCTATTCTGTTACTCTTCTGTCTGTTTGTGTTGCCATCCTAGGCTGTCTTTGTGATTGCAAGTATACAGTACAATTATTATTAGAAATGTATAATTCTCACACAATTGAGTATATCCATTTACTCACAGGAAATCGATGTTGTTCTTCAATGCATCCACAGTTTTTTCAGTTATATGTACATGCTTAGCTGTAGCTTAAATACTATTTAATGTGTTTTTGGACTTCTCAATTTTTATAGCTCTTTGGCGATGAAATTTTCTTCCAAACTTCTAAAATTATTTTTCTGAGTTGCTGCCTTATGTATAGTATACTGTTAGGACAATTTTAGATTACATCAAATGTGGCTGATGTGGAATTTTACATTTCCTTTGTTGTGGCTCAAAATATTTTCCTACATTTAATTCATGAGCTCCATGATTTTATATGTTAATGTTATAATAGTCAGTATGCAGTGTTGTTACACTCCTTTTTACTTTGGAAAAAAAACAAAACTCTTTGCTTCTAAGGTCAGTCATAAACTCTGCCTTCTATATCTGCCCTTTCTCTCTTTAATGTCATGTCTTTGGACCTAGAGTTTAAACATCCCAACTGAGCCTGTTAGAATAGAGTCAGGTATACACAGTACACACAGGATTAATTCGGTGTCAATATTTTAGCATTATCTACAGGTATAGCATTTAAAATCACATTTCCTCATCATAAATTCTCCTGACACATGTGTGTTGTGGTCCTATAGGACATAAACACAGCATCCATAACAAATAACTGTGTCCAGACCTTAAATGTGTTTCGTGTATATTGCTTTTGAGAATATAGTGGCATTCTGTTTTCACTGAGTTAGGAAACCCATTGTAGAATGTGACTATATTAGAGATCATCTTTTTTGAGTAATTATCTTTGCTCATCTACATCCCTGATTTCCGTAAGTCTCCTCATATCCAAGAAAGCACTCTGTTTGGTATCACATGATCAAACTGTAACTTTTCACCTCAGGTTCTATTGACATTCAGGGATGTGACTGTGGACTTCTCCCAGGAAGAATGGCAATGCCTGGACTCTGCTCAGAGGACTTTGTACATTGATGTGATGTTGGAGAATTACAACAACCTGCTCTATGTGGGTGAGAACATTTTGCTTGGAGAATTCCTAACTCTGACTTTCTGTGTACTGATTGTATAGGTTGTGAACCATCTGTTAAGACGTCTTGGAATCAACAGGAGACTAGGGAAAGTTTGGAGGTAGCAAAGAACTTTTTCTTGGTATTTGTTATTTTCTTCACTTTCCATTTTAGAGGTGTCATGCACCCTTCACTTTGGTTCCAAGATGCGTTCAGAAACTCTGTATCATAGTGTTTCCACCATATCTTCACTTTCATGTTTTTCCTTTCATGGAAGCAGACTTTTTTCTCATAGAGTATATCCTGATTATACTTTCCCCTCCCTGTTCCTTCCATTTCTCCTCCCCTCAGTATCCACCCCCTTTCTGTCTCTCATTAGAGAAGAATGGGCCTAGAGCCAGGCATGGTGGCATACACCTTTAGTCCCAGCACTCAGAGGCAGAAACTGGCGTGTCTCTGTGAGTGTGAGGACAATCTACTCTACAAAGAAAGTTCCAAGAGATCCAGGGCTGTTGCTCAGAGAAACCCTCTCTTGGGGGAAATAAAAAGGAGGAGGGAGGGAGGGAGGGAGGGAGGGAGGGAGGGAGGGAGGGAGGGAGAGAGGGAGGGAAAGAAAAAGTAGTCTTTTAAGACATAACAACCAAGCATGACAAAATAAAATATAAGATAAAGTAAAAACCATCATATTGAAGTTGGACAAGGAAAACCAATAGAAGGGAAAGAATCCTAAGACCAGGCACGAGCATCACAGACCCATCCGTTCTCACACTCAGGAGTCCCATGATAAGACTATAATACATAAGCAGAGGACCTCGTACAGAGCTCTGTAGGCCCTGTGCCTGCTGCTTCGGTCTCTGTGAATTCACTCGCAGTTGGCAAATTGAAGAATATAATATGAAGACACACAGCCAAGGACAGCAGTTAAAGTCCTACTTCACAGACTCACATTAGACTTAGCATTTGTAAGATTATTCCAATCTGATGTCAGCATAGTCAAATAAAATTGTATTTTGTACTAGTATTTACTTGCCATAATTCAGGTATAATAAGGTACAACATCTTCCAACAATTACAACAGGCAGGATGCATCCTGGGACCTGCACACTAAACTAAGGAATCCTTTCACGTGGAATTAAATATCACAAAAGGATTCTCAGCTCTTGCTTTCTCTTTCACTAGAAGCCATCACTGTTGTCCTGCTCATTCACTAGTCCACCCAGGCTGTGGCTACTCTCTTCTCTCCAAATTCCATAGCCATCTCATTTGCTGCACACAGGTGACTAAGCCTGCCTTGCACACAATAATCCACATGTACTGTATGGTAGTCTGTGAATCATGGCAGTCTTATTTTAGAAAGAATACAGACATCTAACACAGTACTGGGCTCAGTACATGAAGAGAACACACAGTACAGTAATCTAGGAATGATTTCTCAATTGCTATTTCCTGTCAGATCTACAGCATATTTGGGAAGAATTTTATGTTTGCATATTTTCTCACCATTAAAACAATGTAAAATGCAATGATGGTCATGGAGCTTTAAGATATTAGGTGGAACCAGCCACAAAATCTGTGACCTAGAGTCTGTCCTGCCTGCAAAATAAGCTAGGATAATATTGGAACACAAATGTCTGATTTTACTTGAGGCCCAATCCACAAGATGGAATGTAGTGGCATCTTGTCTTGCCAGTGAGTTTGTGCTGGGCATGGATTCCTTAGTTTAGTATGCAGGTCCCACGATGCATCCTGCCTGTTGTAATTGTTAGAAGATGTTGTGCCTTATTACACCTGAATTATGGTAAGTGATACTAGTACAAAATGCAATTTTATTTGACTATGCTGACATCAGATTGGACTAATCTTACAAATGCTAAGTCTAATGTGAGCCTGTGAAGTAGGACTTTAACTGCCGTCCTTGGCTATGTGTCTTCATATTACCTGCTTCATTTTATTCCCAGTGGAGAACACACAGGCTTGCTTATGGGAAATAGTCCCAGGCGTCAGTATACAGAGGGGACCTGAGAACAACCCTGTGGGGAAAGTTAAGAGCACAACACTGTGTGGAGCTGAGACAGTGGAGGATAGAAATGAGCAATGGCTGCCCGTGACATCCCTGCTAGACTCTAGGTTCCGTAGTCTAGTGCCTTTGATACCTGGCAAAATTGCTTTGCTTCCATTACTTTTGAAGACCCTAATGTGCCTTTTAGAAAAAAAAAAAGTAACCCTTTGATGCCTTTTTTAAATTTTTGTTTTGCTTTTCAAGTCAAGGTTTCAATCTGTACCCTTGACTGTCCTGGAACTTCCTCTATAGACCAGGCTGGCCTCATCTCACCAAGATCCACCTGCCAAGGTGCTGGGATTTAAATGCATATACCACGACTGCTTCACTCTCTTTTGGTTCCTTAAGTAAGCCTTTAATCTTTGAAGAAATCGTGTCTTCTGAACTGTATGCTTTATTCCTTTACATTAGTAAGTACAAACACCATGAAGCTAGAATTGGAGTAAACTCTTCTATAATAATTTCACCAAAAAATATTTAAAACTAGAAACATGTATTCAAAGTATAATCAGTCGGTGTGCTCCCTCCTAAAGCTAACTGCTGATTCCTCAGCTACTCTTGTCCTCTTCTTTGATGGTTGTCGTCCTGTTTTTGGAAGAATCCATACAATTATAGTGAAAGGAAAATGTTGAGTACCAGGAACTCTATGAAGTGATTGCTGGTCGATTTAACTAGAAAGACAGTCACAGTCAGTTGTGAAATGTTTAATCTTGGAAAAAGCCCTATTAATCTGAACTGTACTCATTTTCAGAGAACTATTGCGTATGTGATCCTGTCCATCACCATGTGAATAATGAAAAGGAGTCTCGTTGGTGTCATGACCTTGGCAAAGTGCTTCATGACCCCTCCACATGTGCACTTCATAGAACAAGTGAATCTACAGAAAACTCTAATAACTACACATGCAATAATCACAGGAATGCCTCTGTTGACTCATCAAACCCAGACAGACATGAAAGCATGCACACTGGAGAAGAACCTTGCAGATCTAAAGACTGTGAGAACTCTTTAAGTTTGTGTTCCAACATCACTCAAGACCAGAGAATCTACACTGCAAAGAAAGAGCACAGGCAGGGAGAATATGATGACTATTTTACCTCTGCATATAGTGTTATGCAGCAAGCAATCTACATTGGAGAGAAACCATACCAGTGTGAGGAATGTGGGAAATATTTCAGTAATGCCACAAGCCTCAGTGTACACCAGAGAATACATACTGGAAAGAAACCCTACAAGTGCAATGTTTGTGACAAATCCTTCACCCAGTGCACAAATCTTAAAACACATCAAAGACTTCATACTGGAGAGAGACCTTACAAATGCAGAGAATGTGGAAAGTCATTTCGTCACTTGTCAGCACTTAAAAGCCATCAGAAGATGCACACAGGAGAGAAGCCTTACAAATGTGAGGAATGTAACAAATCCTTTTCCCAGTGCTCAAGTCTTAAAACGCATCAAAGACTTCATACTGGGGAGAAACCTTATAAATGCAAAGAGTGTGGAAAGTCATTCCGTCAGTCCTCCGCACTCAAAAGCCATCAGAAGTTGCATACAGGAGAGAAGCCTTACAAATGTAAGGAATGTAACAGATCCTTTGCCCACTATTCTAGCTTTAGGAGACATCAGAAAATCCACAGTGTTGAGGACCATTCTAGTTATGAAGTATCTGACAAGGTCTTTCATCAGCTTTCACACAGTAGAAGCCACTACAGACTCCATACTGGAGAGGAGCCTTACAAATGCAACGACTGTGACACAGATCCTTTACCCACTATGAATGATGTAGAAGGCATCATAAAAATCATTCTATAGAGATATTGTAGGAATGCAGAGATTGTGGTAAGTCCTTTCATGAAATGCCATGTCTTCTTAAAAAGGCATTACAGAATCCATACTGGAGAAAAACCTTAGAAATGTGAGGTGTGTGACTAATCCTTTGCAAAGGACTCACATCTTAGAAGACATCACAGTGTTCATACTGGAGAGAGACCTTACAGTTGTAAGGAATGTGACAGATCTTTCTCTAGGTGTGCATATCTTACAGCAGATCAGAAAATTCATAGTGGAAAGAAATCTTACAAATGCAAAGACTGATACATCCTATGTCCATAGTGCAAGTCTTAGAAGACATCAGAAAATCCATACTAGAGACAAATATACTGTTGTAAATAATGTGGCATAGCATTTATCTGGAATTGTCTGCTTACAAATCCTAACAGTACACATAATAAAAACATAAAGGTAAGAAACTTGTGAATGCCTTTAATGAAGGTCTAAATCTTAGAAAAATATCACAAGGTTTATATTGAAATAAAATTCTTCAAAAGTAATGGAGAAAATTGTTTTCTTAATGTATATGGTTGCTTCGCCTGTAAGTATTTCTGTACACTGCATTGTATAGTGCCTAGTGCCTGGCAAGGCCAGAAGACGTAATTATATTCCCCTGAAACTGGATGAACAGAAAGTTGTGAGCATTGTTTATATTAGGAATCGAACCCCAGTTCTTTGGAATCACATCCAGTGCTTTTAACCACTAAGCCATATATACAGCTGTAATAAGAGCATTTATCTTGTTCCATATTCAGAAATTCATAATTATGTCAGGTGAGGTGGTGTGAGTCTGTGTGAGTCAGAGGCCATCGTTGTTTATTTACATAGTTAGTTGCAGGCCAGGTGGGACTACGTCAACTATCTCTACAACAACAAAAAAGTAATGAGAACAAATTGTAGTAACTTAAGAAATGTGACAGGGCCCTCTAATTTTGCTAATACAAAATTCATAGTTGTAAGAAACCATATGAATGTATACCATATATAATCCCCATGTGTTGCTGTTCATTATAAATCCCTCCCCGAACTGCATCCAATTTGATAAATCCTTTACCTAGTTCTGAAATTATAGATAGAAAGAATTCATCATGAAAGAAACAAGAATATGCTCTAATAAAGTCTCATCTTTTGTTTACCTTCAAAATCTTCATACAAGAGTCAGACCTTAAAGACAGCAAGAAGGTGAGAGACTGTAAAGAGACAGGCTGTGGCTGTGACAATGCAGGCATGCTCACATACAACTTACAGAACTCCAGGGGCTAAGGCTGTGGTCCTGCATGTCTTTAATTCCAGCCTTCTGGAGTTCAAGGCCAGCCTGGTCTCAAACAAAACAACAATAAGGAAATACCCCAAGAACATATAGAAATGAATTTTGAAGTATTGAGGACAAATGGGGAAGTATTCACTCAAAACTCTAAAATAATATAGCTTTAAACTGCCAGTAAACCTTCGTGGAGTGAAAGGAGACTTGTGGGACCCTCTCTCAGCCATGATGTAGTGGTAATTGTCCCTGGCTTACACAGTTGTTTGTTCTTAGTATTTTTTGAGATATTATGAGTCTGCGCTACCCACTACCAACTGCAAGGGACATCTTTCACTAAGATTGAGAGTAGTACAAATTGAGAATTATAAACATGGATATTTAGACGGCAGATTAACAACATGATCATTCACAAAACATCAGTAGGTTCTGCCCTTGGCCTGCACTCCCCTAGCAATGGGTTTTAATCATGTTTGTAGTGCAGGGCAAGAATTCTTTATGCAGCAACCCTCAAATCTAATCAAGACAGGTGGTTATGCCCATAAGCACTGATGCCAGTGCACGCATCCTGACTTGCAGGTTGGTATTGTAGGATGCAGGGTCAAAGGGTTGATAAGACCAACGACATCTTTTCTTTGCATCCCTTTGAAAGCTAGCCAGCAAGGAGAATTTCCTGGTAAGTCCAAGATTGCTCACTCTACCTTACAACCAAAGAGTTGGGTATCTTAAGCAACTTGTGGTGGCCAAGCAAGAGCACTAGCAGTGACCTGTTTTGTTTGCGGTTCTTCTGGGGCTTCCCCTCTAATAAGTCCTAGGCAGGTAACCAGTAGCTGGTACAGAGAGAGTTCCATTTCACAGCCCTGATGTCTGGGAGCAGCATTATTCACCCATGTGGGATACTCTGTTCAAAGATTAAAATCATATTTTCTACTAACTTGTAAGATAATGGGATTTCATAAGGCTTCTCCATACATCCTTACTTGTGGTTGTCCCATCCAGTCTTCCTCCTGTCTTCCTGCCTCATCCCCAGTTAAGCATCTAGCGTGTATTATCTGATACAATCCACCATTGTTTTATAGCATGTGTGTTCTATTATCCTCTGTTATTGTGCTCTTTTACTTGGACTGCAAAATGATAGGTTACCATGTAGATTCTTCACAGACATCTCATTTGAGTTGAACTTTCAGGAGCTTTCTCCTCCCCAGCACTATAGTACATATTTGAACCATTCTGCGCTCAGTATTCTGCATTCCAATTTCATGTCACCTGTATTCTACAGTCCACCCTGTCTTCTTCCATGTCCCTCTAATGGTCCATTTCTAGCTTCCTGGCTTCTATGTGTACTCTCACTGAACATATACAGCTTAGTTTGAAGCTAGGAATAACATGGGAGAAAACACGAGGTTTAACTTTTGAGGCTTAGTTGGCATCACTCATTAATCATGTTTTCTTTTTTTTTTAATTTTATTTTCCAGTTTAAATTTAGATAAGAATCAAGGTTGCTTCACAAGTCAGTTCCAGGTCCCTCTCCCATTCCCTCTCTTCCTCCCTTGCCCTCCCCCCCCCCCCCCGTTATCCCCTCATTTCTCCAGGGAGGGTGAGGCCCTCCATGGGGGTGTCCATAGTGTGTCATTTCATATAGGGCAGGGCCTAGACCCTTCCCCAAGAGTTCAGGGTGAGAGTGCACCTCACATTGTTCTATTGGAGTCCAAAGTCCGTGTGTATACTTGGGATGGGTACTGATCTGCTGCCCAAGGCTCAATAGATTACCTAGGCCTCTTCACTGACACCCAGATTCAGGGGGTCTTGATCAGTCCCATGCTGGCTTCCCAGGCTAATGCCTGGGATTCAAGAGTTAACCTTTGTCTGGTCAGCTGTTTCTGGGGGTTAAACCAGCCCAGTCTTAATCCCTTTGATCATCAGTCCTCCCTCTCTGTTACTGGCTTTCTTGAGTTCAGCTCAGTACTTAACCAAGGGAGTCTGCCTCTTCTTCGATCAGCCACTAAATAAAGTTTCTGTTTCCCAGATTCTCTGGCCATAGGATTGTAGGCTGGCACTCCCCAGATCTATGTCTAAAATCCATATATGAGAGAGTACATGCCATGTTTCTCTTTTTGTGACTGGGTTACCTCACTCAGGATGGTTTCTTCTAGTGTCATCCATTTGCCTGCGAATCTCATGATTCCATTATTTTTTTCTGCTGAATAGTACTCCATTGTGTAGATGTACCACATTTTCTCTATCCACTTTTCAGGTGAGGGACATCTAGGTTGCTTCCACGTTCTGGCAATTACAAATAAAGCTGCTATGAACATAGTGGAACAGACATCTTTGCTGTATGAATGGGCATCTTTTGGATATATGCCTAAGAGTGGAGTTGCTGGGTCTTGTGGTAGGTTTATTCCCATTTTTTCTGAGGAATCTCCACACTGATTTCCAAAGTGGCTGAACCAGTTGGCACTCCCACCAGCAATGGAGGAGTGTCCCACTTTCACCACATCCTCTCCAGCATAAATTGTCATTGGTGTTTTTGATTTTAGCCATTCTGACAGGGGTGAGATGGTATCTGAGAGTTGTTTTGATTTGCATTTCCCGGATGGCTAAGGATGTTGAGCACTTTCTCAAGTGCCTCTCAGCCATTTTAGATTCCTCTATTGAAAACTCTCTATTTAGTTCTGCAGCCCACTTTTTAATAGGGTCCTTTGGTGTTTTGGAGACTTGCTTCTTGAGTTCTTTGTAAATTTTGGAGATCAACCCTCTGTCAGATGTGGGATTAGTGAATATTTTTTCCCATTCTGTGGGCTGCCTTTTTGTCTTGCTGACTGTGTTCCTTGCCCCACAGAAGCCTCTCAGCCTCAGTAGGTCCCATTTATCAATTGTTGATCTTACTGCCTGTGCTACTGGTGTTATGTTCAGGAAGCTGTCTCCTGTACCAACTCGTTCAAGGGTACCACCCACTTTCTCTTCTAAGAGGTTCAGTGCGGCTGGATCCATGTTGAGGTCTTTGATCCATTTGGACTTAAGTTTTGTGCATGGCGATAGACATGGATCAATCTGCATTCTTCTACATGCCAGTCTCCAATTATGCCAGCACCATTTGCCGAAGACGCCTTCTCTATTCCATTGTATATTTTTAGCTTCTTTGTCAAAGATCAGATGTTCGTACGTGTGTGGGTTAATACCCGGGTTTTCAATTCGATTCCATTGGTCCACCCGTCCACTCCTGTGCCAACACCAAGCTGCCCTCAGGACTATAGCTCTACAATAGAGCTTGAGGTCAGGGATGGCGATGCCTCCGGACGTTGCCTTGTTGAACAGGGTTGTTTTGGCTATCCTGGGTCTCTTGTTTTTCCATACAAAATTGATTATTGTTCTTTCAAGGTCTGTGAAGAACTGTGCTGGGATTTTAATGGGGATTGCATTGAATCTGTAGATTGCCCTTGGCAGGATTGCCATTTTTACTACATTGATCCTACCTATCCAAGAGCATGGGAGATCTTTCCACCCTCTGAGGGCTTCTTTAATTTCTTTCTTTAAAGATTCAAAGTTCTTACGATACAGGTCTTTCACTTGTTTGGTTAGCATTACCCCAAGGTATTTTATGTTGTTTGTGGCAATTGTAAAGGGTGATGTTTCTCTGATTTCTCTCCCAGCCCTTTCATCATCTGTATATAGTAGGGCTACTGATTTTCTTGAGTTGATCTTGTAGCCTGCCACTTTGCTGAAGGTGTTAATCAGCTGTAAGAGTTCCCTGGTAGAGTTCTTTGGGTCATTGATGTAAACCATCATATCGTCTGCAAACAGTGAAAGTTTGACCTCCTCCTTCCCAATTTGTATCCCCTTGATCCCCCTTTGTTGTCGTATGGCAATAGCCAGAACTTCAAGTACCATGTTGAAAAGGTATGGAGAGAGTGGACAGCCTTGTTTTGTTCCTGATT